AATTAATTTAGAGAATTATGCAAGAGTCTATCAGTGATAGTTTGCATTTTTGTGTAATTGTGCATGAATTTGAATGATGTGCTGCGTGATACTTTGTAGGCTGTTGTAAGTAACGAGTTTTGCTGCCGTTACGGTGGGTTTGGTTTGAATTTCGAACAAAGCTACACGAGGGCTATCTGCTTTAGCCATACTTATTTAGCAGTGACAGGCTAGAGAGAAGGCAGCTAGTCATCACCACCCACCGGTGGGTGGGTGTGTGACGGATGTTTGGACCCTCAGCCGGTGGTGGAAAACTAGCTGTGTTAGAACGTGCCTTAAGGGAAAATAGTTTAAAAAGTGAGGACACAAATGAACCCACGATTTGGGTGAAAAGAGACCATTCGTCTATGACAGCCAGAAGGGAAAACCTTGAATACCTTCCATGGAAGAACAATTCACCACCACCTCCCCAACAACAACAAAAAAACTTTACAAACTAAAAGGAACCATTTCAACGCCACCTCCCAACAACAACAACAACAACAAAAATCTTTAAAAACTAAAAGTAATCATTTCAAAACACATCACATAATGCCTCAAACGAACAATGGCTTTCTAAGTCTTGCGCTCGCAGCTTTAACAACATGACTTGAAATTGTCACATGGAAATAATAATTCATACGTGCCAGTTTCGAAATGTAAGAAAGTTAACGTTACGTTTAACAATGATAATGTTAGCCATATATTCCTTGTTATTGAATAAAAGTTAAATCCTAACTTCAGTCTATAATGGGCAAAGATACAGTCACAGTTACCATGTATGCACAAAGATACAGTCACAGTTACCCTGTATGTACAAAGATACAGTCACAGTTACCCTGTATGTACAAAGATACAGTCACAGTTGCCCTGTATGTACAAAGATACAGTCACAGTTACCATGTATGTACAAAGATACAGTCACAGTTACCATGTATGTACAAAGATACAGTCACAGTTACCATGTATGCACAACGATAGTCACAGTTACCATGTATGTACAACGATACAGTCACAGTTACCCTGTATGTACAAAGATACAGTCACAGTTGCCATGTATGGGCAAAGATAGTCACAGTTACCATGTATGCACAACGATAGTCACAGTTACCATGTATGTACAAAGATACAGTCACAGTTGCCATGTATGTACAAAGATACAGTCACAGTTGCCATGTATGTACAAAGATACAGTCACAGTTACCATGTATGTACGAAGATAGTCACAGTTACCCTGTATGTACAACGATAAAGTCACAGTTACCCTGTATGTACAAAGATACAGTCACAGTTACCCTGTATGTACAAAGATACAGTCACAGTTACCATGTATGTACAACGATACAGTCACAGTTACCCTGTATGCACAAAGATACAGTCACAGTTGCCATGTATGGACAAAGATAGTCACAGTTACCATGTATGCACAACGATAGTCACAGTTACCCTGTATGTACAAAGATACAGTCACAGTTACCATGTATGTACAAAGATACAGTCACAGTTACCATGTATGTACAAATATACAGTCACAGTTACCCTGTATGTACAAAGATACAGTCACAGTTGCCATGTATGGACAAAGATAGTCACAGTTACCATGTATGCACAACGATAGTCACAGTTACCCTGTATGTACAAAGATACAGTCACAGTTACC